TTGATTTTCACAATATATCTTCCGATTAGAGTGTCGGGATGAAATGCTCTAATTGTGTTATAAAAATGAATAATTGATTCAATCCAATTGAGGGAATTCCGACGCTTCACTGCTTCTAATTATTGATTTTAATTTCACTTTTTAACATTGAATTTTATTACACATTTGAGAGAACAATTCAACTTTTTTGATTCTTTAAATATTCTTCCATCTCCCTGTGGATACTACACCCCAAAACTGTGTTACAACTACCGCGTTATTCTTTGGACGTAATCAGCAGCACAACAATCAACAGAAGTTCCAATGAACTCAGTTAAGTGTTTTATACATCGAAGAACGTTATCAAAATGAGAGAGAGAGAGAGAGAGAGAGAGAGAGATGAGATTCAAAGCACATAATATTTGCAATAAAAATGATATAAATTTTCTGCCAGCAAGGCAAGCTATTTATAGTTGGGTTTATCCGGATGTACCGAAGGGGGGGTGACCGAATGGTGTCCCCCCCCCCCCTCACAAATGCAGCGGGCCCCATGTTTTTAAAAAAATACGGCTTGTGGACCCCACTCCCAAATGTGAGTGAGTTGTAAAAGATTAAATAAAAAATTATGTACATGTAGCATAACCCTTTATAGTTTTATAAGTTACATCGGTTAACATAGTATACACACTGTCATACCAGAAAATATGCGGAAACAAGCCAACAGTAGGAATTTTAAAATCCCATTAAAGACAATTTCACTGGGACTGACTCGGGCCCTTGTCGCCCGACTGCGGTGCTCGCATGTGTGTGAGGCTTAGAATCGAACTCAATAGGATATAAGCGACTCCCCTTCCAAAGACTAGTTGTATCCCTTGGATTTCAAACTCAATTGTCAAACCTTCACTATATAAAACCACACAAAAGTTTTCAAAGTTTCCTATGTGAGATAAGTGTGTAACAATTTTCAATTAAATCAAATTCTCCACTTATTTAAAGTTTCGAGTGAGTAAATTTGAAATCAAATATTTTATTCAATTCTAAATGATTTTCGATAAATAAATATATTTAATTAATCACCTCGCGGAGTAAAACGTGAACATGCTTAGTCCCGTTAACAATGGAATACGGGTCCCACTGAAATTAAAGTCCAAAGTTGACCCATTTCATTTTTTATTAAAACAATTCCAACATCTTGTACATTGTCAATTGGCTAATTACATGTCACAATAAAAGTGTGCAGAATAGGGACGCAACTGAAAACCCGATAATAGTTAATTGTTTTTTTTTTTTGGGGGGGGGGGGGGTTTGAAAAAAATTCGAAAAATTATTTCAAAATATGAACAAATTTGGAATAAATATATTAATTAAACATAGTGCACAAATATGAAAACAATAAATAAAAAGGAAGAGAGTGTGCAAACGATGTAATTGTGAAGGTTCGATCCAAATCGATAATCTACATCCTCTATTACTGAGATCTCCGTCACGAGCAATGTATTTTCACTAAATTTGATTAGCTTATGGTGTAATCCAAACCTTACAACGCTTCTGGTGACTTACAAATAAGGAGCATCGATCCTTATACAATATTGAGATTTTCGAAACCTCAATATGACCCACAAATTTGAAAAGAAATGGTTTTACAATTTCAATTTTCTCTCTTCATAAATGATATATAAACAAGTTAAGTATTAAGAGAGAAAGATGCTAACATTTTATTAATAAATAAAAATGAATAAAGCTCAAGTATTAGGTAAGAGAAATTTTGATGAGAGAGATGTTTTTCAAAAGTTGATTCAATCAAAAGTTTTTCAAAGTAAATGATTTGATAAAGATAAATAAGATGTAAAATCAATATAATTTTACTCACAAATATCTTACTTAAATTCTTTTAAAAATGTTGTAATGAATGCAAAGTTAAATGATATTTATATAGTTCAAAACGCCAAAAGTTTTGAGTAATCGGACAAGCAATGAGACGTCCGCATTTTGAACCAAAAATCAATGTAGCCGTTATGCATCAGAATTTAGAACGGCTAAAAAAAAAAAAGTGGCCTTTGGAAGATTAGGTCAATCTCGTAACTTTCACTCAGGAAGATTGGTAACCTCCGGCAAAAAATCTCTTTTCAAGTCTTTTGATCACAGCTCAAGTTCAAAAGTAAATTTTGAGGAAATCATGAACTTAGAAATTTCTGGCTCAAATCCATTTACTTCAAAGGGGAAAAAAGGAGTAGAAAATTATTAAGGTGTTTTTGAATAACTACTTTTGAAAACTAAGTATGAAATGGCCACAATGTGTCCACCCCATACTTTTGTTACATGTACGTATTTAGAAATTGATGAAAATATGTTAGTGATGAAAAATGATGTATGTCGAACATGATAACTACATTATGTCGAACAATTTACAACTGCACATGTTACTTTTCGAAGTACGAATATAGCCTCTCAAATTGAAGTTGCTAAAGAGAAACGTTTTGCTAAATTCAAGTTACAACTTGTTTGCAATGTCAAAGAAAAAAAATCCGTTCTTCATCTATAAGATTATAGAAATCAACTTTCAACAGTTCAATTAGTCATACAAAGAACTTTAATCTAAACAGAAAAATAGATATAATGTGCCAATCAATAAGTAATTAACTTCTCACTTACACACCTAAACATATACAACCTAATTTCACAAGAAATAATTGTATCATTGCTTATATTTATTTATAAAAATAAAAACAAAATTATCATTGACATATACAATCGACAAAACAATAACAATTGAGCAAACATTTCACATCATCAATTACTTTTCGAAAAATCTACAAATTCTACTAGGCTAATAAAAACAAAATAAATACAAAACTCGTGCAACGTACATGACATAGACTAATATTTATATAAAAATGTAATGTTTAAAAGTAGAGCATTGGGAAATGAAGTAATAAACGTACACGTAAGATCTCCAACTCTGATACTACTTGTTAAGATCTAGTTTCAATCATCCCATCTAAGAATCAAGTAGTGTCCAGTGATAGTGAGGACATTCTAAAACCTTATGAAATTCGATCACTATCATTTGAGTGACCCAATCTATTGACTTAAATTTTAGCTTGTTACTCCATAATGAAAGTGTCAAAATTTTAGAAATGCACCTCAAATTATAGTGATATTTAGTGGGTTTTTGACATCTCACAAAGGTGTAGTTGGGATGTCCAAAGTTCTAGCGGAGAGTGAGGACAAGAGCATGTTTCGAAAGCATTTATATATGATTTATAAATAAATAAAAATAAGTGGTGAACACATGAATAGTACTTATAAATTTTTCAAAATGTTTAAGCCCCCATCTGACACACATTCTTTCAAAACTCATTTTCAGCAACATATTTTTCAATAAAATAATATTTTCCATCACATCAATAACTTTTCGTTACTTATGATGTGTTTGATGGATATTGTTGATGAAATAATATATTTTAAATAGTGATATGATGGAAAATAAATGATTAAAAAGTAAGAAAACGTGATTAATGTGATGTAAAATATTATTTTATTAAAAAATGTGTGTGATTAAAAATGAATTTTAAAAGAATGTTTTTTTAAAAAATGTGTGTTAAATATGGACTAAATAAAAGTCAATTTCAGTACTTATAAACCTGAGTGAATAATAGGCCGAGACTCATGTGACCAAGGTTCATCTTTAAAAGTATTTGCAGCCACGTTGTTTAAAGAAAGAGTTCATCAGAAGAAATAAAAAAATGTTGCAGTGTTTTCAAAATCTGAGCTTCAACAGGCTCACGTGAATGAAAATAAGAAACGAAGGCTCCTCCTCTTAAATGCATCAATGCCAATGCAATGTCAATGACTTTTCATTCAAAATAAAGCAAACTTTTTGAGCGCTAAATCAGACTGCAGCATTAAATGGCCATTAAATTATTCATAACTCCTTTCTTCTCCACAGATCTTTTGATCTGAATCGTATCAAAGTCCAAGCTTTTTGTCTCTTCTCATTACACACACAAAAATGGGTTGTGTTTCGTCTACGCTGCTTAATCAAGACGATGAATTTTCTCAAATCGGCGGCTCGGCTGCTTTCAGCCATCACATTGTCTCTCTCACATCCACTACGTACGGCCTCCTTACACTCGACCCGCCGTCGTCTGACCACCATCCTCCCACTACCACTGTTCCTCCTATGCCAACCCCACCACCGCATCCGCCTCGCTTCACCCTTGGTTCTCTCTTCCCCAGCCCACTCTCCGAACCCCGTTCTCTCAAGTCCCACTCTCTCGAAACCATCAACTACTGGGACTTCATGTCCGGCCTCGATGCCGATCACATTCCCAGCTTCCGCTTCTCCCCTCTGCCGTTGCCACCCTCTAAATCGTTTAGTACTGCCGCAGTCTGTCCGGATGATGACGAGAATTTGAGTCCGAATGTCTCTATAAAGTCCTTGAAGGAGGCCACTAGTTTGAGGAAACCAGATGTTTCCAGGGATTCAAGTTTTTTTGGTTCACTTGATGGATTTGAAAAGATTTGCCCGCCAAATGGGGAGCATAGATTAGTGATCTATACGACGACTCTAAGAGGTGTAAGGAAGACTTTTGAGGATTGTAATGCTGTTAGATCAGCAATCGAGGCAGTTGGGGTTTTGTTTTTTGAGAGAGATATTTCAATGGACAAGGGGTTTAAGGATGAATTGAGGGAATTGCTGAAGGGTAAGGACACTAGTGACTTGATACCGCCAAGACTGTTTTTGAAAGGGAATTATGTCGGTGGTGTTGAGGAGGTGATGAGGATAGTGGAGGAGGGAAGTCTTGGAAAATTGCTTCGGGGGTTGCCTAGAACCAGAGGTGGCTGTGTGTGTGAGGGGTGTGGAGGTGTGAGGTTCTTGCCCTGTTTTACTTGTAATGGGAGTTGTAAGATTGTGGTGAATGAAGAAAAACTGGTGGATGGGAAGCAAGGGGAGAAGGCCGTAGTAGTGAGGTGCAGTGACTGTAATGAGAATGGTTTGGTGCTCTGTCCCATGTGTAGCTGAGCTATTGCAGAATGTGGATTCTTTTGGCACCATCCATATTTATTAGGTCCGTTTTCAATGCCTCGTCTTTGCTATTTTACTCAGAAGTATAATTCTAATCTCATCGTGTCTTCGTTTGCTTCTGTTTCCAATGTAACGCCACAATCCTTTAACTGAGGGTTCTATACTTGTTAGATTTTTTAAAGGATAAAGGAACAGAGTCAGGAGAATGAAATTGTTAGCTAGTAATTATATCATGCATACTTGCGACTTTTTGTTATTATTTTTCATTTTTTTGTAAATTTGACTGTTTGTAGAGTTCCATTTTCGTGTAGGCAATGGACAAAATGGTATCTGAAAAATTGGTTACTATCTCAATGTCACTGTGGAAAAATCTTAGGATTTACTTCTGTCAAATTTCTCCAACTTGAAGGAATTAAGGGTATAACTATTAGGGTGTGTTTCGTAACACCTATTTTCCATGGAAAATGGAATATATTTTCCTTTTCCACCTAAATGTGTTGTTTGATGGCCACTTTTTGCCATGGAATTTGCCAATTTTATTTTCCATTCAAGCGCCTACTTCCAGGCGCGAAAGGAAAGGGGTTTCCCACCTTTTAAGTGGGAAAACAATTTCTGGGCTCTGTCTGTCATTTTTTTTTTAATTTTAGCAATGGAAGCAAATTTCATAACCAAGTGTAAAAAAAAAATTTCACTTTCATGGACAATTTTGATGCAACCGAACACTAAACTTTGATAAAAAAAGATTTTTTAGGAAACATATTTTTTTGTTCATTTTTTTTAATTTTTTGGCAATGGAAACAAATTTTATAATCAATTGTGGAAAAAAATATCACTTTAATGGACAATTTTCATATAAAACAAAGCCAAACGAATAGAAAATTTAAAAATTTTCCGGGTGAAAAATTATACCAATCAAACAAAATCATTTTCTCTGCAAAATATTTTCTAGACAAATCTTTTCTCTGTAAAATATTTTCCTTCCACTCATTTTTCACCATTGCAATCAAACGCACCGTTAGTTACAAGGAAATCTCCCGTTCGAGTCCCCTCAAGACCATTGAGGTGAGTACCCAGCCATAAATTTCAGGGCTCCATGGGATTAGTCGAGGTGTGCACAAGTTGGCTCAGATATTTACGGTTATAAAAAAAAAAAAAAGTACTTTGTTTGTGTTGCATTTTAAGAGTTTTTGGGAATTTTAAGAGTATAACTAATAGTTCTTATAAGAAACTTCTAGCTAGAGATTACTAATAATTTCCTTAATAATCTGGGTTTCCAAGTATCAAATTGCTTGATTTAACACAGCTCAAACTCAGGTCCCAGCCACGTAAGTTCCTCTCTCATAGCTTGATATTTTTAGGGTGTAACCAATAGTTCTTATTGGAAACTAGTATCTTTCTGACTAGTATTGCTTTCTTCGTTCATCAGTACAATTAACCTGTGAATTTGGTTTAGGGCATTGTTAATATATAATAATAGATGAAAAACTGATACTATGCTGTCATTAGGGAAAAATGTGATACAGTTTTTGCCATGTACTGCTTTAAGAAATTTGCCCAAGCTTTGGTAATCCCAATCAATTATAAGAAAGAGTCAAAACGATGAGGAACCTGTTATTATGCAAAAGAATCTGTAATTGAATTGTAATAGCTTAATTACTTTAATTCCAGCACGTGATGATTGATGTAGCTTTTTCTTGTAGATATTTATGGGTAAAGAAGCTTTATTCGCCCAAGTGGTAACATCAAAGCTAACATACAAAATCTAAACAAAAAAGAGAAATTATTTAGCTTTATGCACAAGTTCTATTCTAATGTAGGAGGAACCTGTAGGTCCTAGGTGCTAGTTCTGGAATATAAGTTTAACATCAGAAATACTTTTCTTGAAGATATTCTCTAGGATGTAAAGCTCCTTTCCAATTTCTATTGCTTTGTTAACGGAACGATCATGTCCATTCTCCATTGTTTGTGATCATTAGCTAGTTGATATACCTAAGAAAGCTTTTTAATATTGCCAAGTTCTGACTTGTGATATCCAGAATCAGTCAACCTTTTCCCCTTCAATGTTGTGTTCCGATTAGGGAATTTAGAGGGTAGGCTTATTAGTACATTGCTCTGCTAAGAATGTTTATTAGAGAGTCTGAGTACAAGTATAAACATCTCAAGCTATCTAAGGTTGAAATTTTGAATAACATTAGTTCATACATCTAATATCACCAAGATCTTTTCAGATTATTTTTTTACCATTTCTTTTAGCAAAACAATTAGTTTCTATTTTGTAGCATCAACCAATTCACATCTACAGCTCATTCTTGGTGGTTCAATTTGTATCTCCCAGATCTTACTTTTGCACTTGTTGTGGCCCCACCTACCCATCCACATTTATCCCTTGGTAAGAAGTTGTACTATTCCCTCTTAAAACCAAGCAGTAGAGTGAGAACAAATGACACAAATATTCATCTAATAGCAGTTTATGGTCCCAACTGATTAAGAATATGTTAAGCATAAAAATCAGTCTGAACCTGTGTACTTGAGTTAAACATACAATCATTCATTGTTTTGTGTTTGAAGGGGTCTATAAACTACACTGTTTTTATGTTTGGTTTGCTTTACCATTTACTTTCGGAAGTCTTGTATGCAGTAATCTGAGAAGGCGTCAAGGCGCTGATGGTCCAATTCCTCACTTGGAAATTGCAACGGTGTTTTCACACAGTGCAGAGAGGGTACCAATGCTGCAGTTATAGTACACAATGATGGTTTGTATTTGGAGACAATGATCTTGTCAACTATATGCCTTGATAATGATCATTACTGTGGGCCAAGGCTGGATTTTCTGGTGTAACTTATCAATCAATATGATTCCAACTTCATATTAGGGATAATGTCCAAGGGCTCTTTACATTAAGTATTACAAGCTAGATTTGTTGCTAATAAATGTGATATTGAAGGAACAAGTTCATTTAACAATTATACTTGACACTGCAATTGGAACTCTTTAGGAGAGATGTGAAGTTGGAAATCTGTCTCTCTTTCTTTCCAGAAAATTGCAAGATGGATTATGCATCTGATTTAATATAAATCTCTAGACCAATTTAATTATGTGGAAAATGAAAGAGAAAGTTATGCTTTGATCTGTTTCTTTCTTTTTTGGGCCTGTGGTGTGAAATTTGATCTGTTTCATGAATCCGTAGATTGAATGTGTTTTGGGATGCATGGTGGAGTATCTCATAAACGCTGTTTATTATTTCTGGTGCATTATTTCTTTTTGTTGGCCAATGATATGTAGATTTTCTCTCTTATTTTTTAGCTCCCAGTTCTGTAGGAACATTTTCTTTAAACCCCCCCCCCTTCCCCTTTCAAGCTTGTATTTCTTTCTAGAATAATGCTATGAAGCACTATTGGTCTTTACCACTGGCCTGTGTGGCAACAGTGGTTTATTGGACGTATATGCTACATGTATAAAGTTGAGTTAAAAAGTTGGTTGACAAAATAATATCTATACCAATCATTTTAAAAATATATTTTTAAATCATTTGAAATTAACGGTTTGGATTTTGTCAACACATTTTGTAACTCAACTTTTGTAACTCAACCAACTTTTGTAACTCAATTTTGTACAAATAGCTTTATTGCATGTAAAATGGTACAAATACATAGCATTACTTTCTTTTTATTTTTGGTTGGCCAAGTGGAGGAATAATCATTTTAGAGCTGAACAAAATCATATTCCAACGGAAAATATAGAATATATATATATATATATATATATACACACACACGCACACAGGAAAACCTGAAAATTACAAAATATAAGTTTGTTGTACCTCTTTATCTGAATTTTGTATGTTTTCTTAGAGAAGCCTCGGGACATGAGTGCTGGTTGGCCCTGTTGTTTTCTAGTATTTTCTGCACAAACCATGCAGATCACCTAATGTTTGTCGTAAAGATAAAACAATACAATGTTTGACATCTCATGCACCAATATTAGATAGTCGATTCTGTTAATTTGTACAGCAAAATATATGCATTTATGTATATCAGTTCATCCATTATTTAAAATTCTCTCTCAATCTATGTACTCTGTGATTATTGAGGATGGCCCCAACAATCGGTCTCAGGGCTTGAAACTTGAGAGGTTTGATTTGTTGTACCTGAACGTGTGTTCACCAATTGATCCAGTGAAAAAGACAAGTCTTGGTAGGGATTACCATAGCCGGGGCTGGAATATTGCTGGGATGTTTCTCCATTAATGAGATGATCCAGTGGGTGGAGTGAAACCCAATCAATCAACCCGACTTTTGAATAATCAAAAGCGTTTCTGTGGCAATAATCCCCGGGTTGATTGGTACATGAAGGTTCGATTGCTGTCATGGTATCGTCAAAGGCCTTAAAGCTGCAATCTTCTTCATTGAAAGGTGAGTTCTTGGCTAGTGACTCGCTGCTTGGACTTTCCATGTGTGCAAAACCGTCATATGGCTCGTTATTGTTGTTGAAGTTTGATTCATTTTGTTGTTGCTTGCATGATCTTCCCATGTACATGATTATCTGATCAAGAACATCATTGTTGTTCGCGTTGATTAAGGTGGAAGGATTTTGTACAGCCTTGTGGTAGTTTTTCTTCTTGAAGACACGACACACCACCCAACCATCTTCCGGCACCAAGTCTCCCACGGTATTACAGGCCTGAATTCATAGCATTACGATTAGACTATCAAAATAAGTAAATCACATGCTCTAAATAAGAAACAGAGGGAGAAAGGCCAACAACGATGGGATCATCAGTAGTGTTGTCATCGAGCCTATATTCATGCATGATCCAATCCGATTTATGCCCATGTGGAGCTCTTCCTCTGTAAAACACAAGAGTCTTCCGTGTTCCAATTCTTTTCAAACTGCTGTAGATGACTTTATCCCGACCGGTTGCCTTCCAGAATCCGGCAGCAGTTGCACGGTTAGTTCGAGTTCCAGATGGGTATTTCTTGTCTTTATGACTGAAGAAGTACCAATCATTTTGAGGTGTAGATCCTATTTTACACTTGTCTGCAATGTAAATATAATTCATTAAGAGGCAGAGTCAAAGAAATTAGTGTAAGTCATACTTCATATTACCTTGAATATCCCATGGCTCGAGCTTGTTAAGGTCGATATCGCGAATTACATCAAGATCAATCTTCTCGTACCCTACTTTCTTCCTCAAGTAGTAGTGTAGGAGCTCCTCTTCGGTCGGATGGAAACGGAATCCAGGAGGCACATTAGACTCACCATTTACCGATAAATTCATGTCAAAATACTAATGGTTCACCAATTGTACCTAGCTTTAAAAAATAAGGCAACAAAGTAGCAAGACAGGACAACTTTTTCCCAAGGAGAGTTTGAATTAAAGGGAAAATATATATATAGTGTCTGTATTGGGTCGGGTCGGATCCGAATAACATGGATAGTTTTGGTAACATGGCCAACATTGCGGTTACACTAGTGGTCCCACTTGATGGCTCCATCATAAACCGTGACCCGATACCTTAATATCTTCAACAACGGCTCTCTAAACCAACATTCCCATTCTTCGTCTCTAAAAATTCTCTCTCTACTCATTTTCTACATGCCGTCAGTTACCAATCCCAACGACAGGAAGACAACAGAGAGATGAGGAGTCTGTTGGCATTGCACTTTCGTTCGAAGGAAATTATTGTCACATTTTTCAAGAGTAATTTCACGTATCATCACTAGGGATGGTAACGAGATGGGTCGGGATTGGAAAAGTAATTTAAATTTCTCTTTCCATCGAGTATTTTTGTCACCACACCTCATACCCAATTAAGGCGAGGAGAGGAGGGACGGAGCATGGCAGATCCCCTATCCCGTTTATTTATTTCCTTTTTTTAGTTGATAAAAATTATTACTTGTCCCGCCTTGTACCAATAGCATTTACCCTATTAGGCAGGTAATTCTTACCCTGTTCCGGACGAGGTTCCATGAATATCAAGTTTAACAAATTTTTTGCCAATCACTATTGAATATTAGCATCGAATTAGGTGGTCACTATTATATTGTTCAATTTTTTTTTTAAAAGTGAAATTAAAAAATTTTATCTATTTTTTTTATTTCTGCCTTTCATTTTCTCAATAAAATTATAACCTATTGCTCATTCCATCATCCTAAACTAACGGAATGTGCCACGTGGTGGAAGAAAATCCTAAGTTGCACATCACACACATGAAATCGGGCCAAATTGGCCAAAGGTACAAAAAGCTACTGCCACTTCCTCGGACCTTCATCTTACCTTGAATACATGCTCGAGCCTAGTCCATGATGTGCATGCCCATTAATCAATGCAGTGGATTTGGGGGAAATTTTGGGTGGAGCTTGTTAAGGTTCTTTAGAGATTCGGGAGCGAATTTGCTGGCGATTTGTGTGAACCTTGTTCTGAAACACTTCCTCCCATTGAAATTTGAAGAAAGAGGTGTGTAGTTGGGTATAGTGGAAATTTGTGTTGTTCCCGCAATTCGTCGGCGGCGATGGAGGATGATAACGATGGTATGGCCGGTAGTCAAGAGCAAGTGTGGCGTTAGGTGTAAGTGGATCTTCCGACTCACGGCAGTGAAAATTTCGGCTCACGTTCCACCTGGTTTTCGGAGGCAGAGGTAGGATTTCGTTGGGGTTCCATCCGATTTATATCCTCACATCTGATTTATGTACTATGGGGGATTTTCGTTCGCCACGTGACACATTCTACTAGTTGAGGGTGATGAAAATCAGACGAGTGATGAAAGGGTAAGCATTTGAATAGATGGGTGAACAATGTGTTGTGTTTTGTTATTCGGTGAGCAAGTAGTAATGTGAACTAAAATTGAGTGAGTATTGATTAAATTTACTCGTTAAATATATCATCATGTGTTATTAAAATATTTTATGCCCCCTTTTGTATGAATTTTGAATCATCTAAATATTCTTCTTAAACTTGACAAAGTTGACATTAAGTTTAGTCCATTAAACACTCTCTCCTCCTTTTTATTCAAATTTTGAATCATCTAGCCTGTAGGCACTATCATTAAATTAGACAAAGTTAGCAAAAGTTTTTTTTTTTTTTCATTTATAGACACACTACTCTTTCTTGTTAACTTTGCCTAGATTGTTTAGAAGACATAATAAAAGAACACTACAAATTAGGACTGAATCACTATATTTGAAAAAGAAGAGCAGTTAAAATATTTCTCAAGTTTATGTAAAATTGGACCGAGGATTAGGGCTATACCCTCCGTCAAGAAAGGGAGACCCCCACACAGCGATGGATGTCCAACTTTTATGCCTCTTCCTTCTCAATAAAGGCGAAGACGGACTCTAAAACACTCTTCTGATCGGTTCAAAAAGTCTTTCCCATCGTACATTAATTGTGATGTAATATATATTTCTTAATGAGAAGCACATTAACATTCTTATTTAAAAATTTAAATGCTTAAAGATGAGTTATATAAATTTATTTTAATCTTGTCATGTACATATCAAAATCATTTTCAATGAATATGGATGATTGCTATCTCACAGTAACAGCAGGCAACAATTTACAGTTCTGAGGGAATTCCATGGTCTTAATCATTAATCCTCTCCTATATTTCAAACCTAATCATGATTTTGGCCAACAAATTGACTAAGCAACCACTTCACTTTTACTTACCGTTCCATCCCTACATTTTCTCGTTCTACTTTATTTGTTTGAAGTTGGTTGTACCTAGTTTTCGTTACATCTTATTATAACTCATTGAGTAAAATGATGTAGGGGTGACGACAAACTTGTTCCACAAATTACAAATTAAAGAAAATTCGTGTAATCGCATAGAAGCTTCATGTGAGGAATTTGAAAAGAAAAATGTTCAATTAGTAAATTATTATCAAGCGTGAAATTGTAGCGAGATAGATATCTGTGTTCTCCTTGACGAGTAGGGTGTTCCGGCTACTTCGATTAATGAATGCTACCAGCAAAATGAGGTCGGGACTTTCTCCTCCTTGTACTTCCGACGTGATAATCAGTATTCGGTTTAAGGAAATAGGAAGAGAGTATAATTGGAATTCAAATAATTCGGGTTTCAAGAAAGTCATACCTTTCTCACCCTAAGGGTATTTACAGGCACCCGATACAACGCACTTGTTCAGCAGTTAATTGTGTCATGTGCCCTACATAAATCTAACCACTTCTCGACATTCTAATGGGATGACCCACACTCCTCTAGCAGTTGGTTGAACCTACGTTTGCCGTTGAGCGGTTCTCGTACGCTCATTGTCATTTGTATGGTTAAGTGTAGCGTCAGCCTTCTAGTGGTAGACGACCTATGTAAACGTAGAGGGCCTCAATGTGGTAGACGGCCTCATGGGGGTCAACAGTCTCATAGCGGTAGATGACTTATGTGAACATAGATGGTCTCATGGTGGTAGACGACCTCATAGGGATGGACAACCTCATGGAGGTCGACGGCCTCATTGTGGTAGACGGCTTATGTGAACGTAAAGGGCCTCATGGTGGTAGGTGGCCTCATGGGGGTCGACGGCTCATGGTGGTAGACGGCCTCATAGGGGTCGACAACATCATGGTGGTCGATGGCCTCATAGTGATAGACGGCCTATGTGAACGTAGATTGCCTCATGGTGGTCGACGACCTCATCGTGGTAGGCGACCTCATGGTGGTAGGTGGCCTTCGGGGGTCGACGGCCTCATAGTGGTAGATGACCTAAGTAAACGAAGAGGGCCTCATGGTGGTAGGCGGCTTCATTGGTGGGCAATAGCCTCATGGTGGTTGACGGCCTCATAGTGATAGATGGCCTATGTGAATGTAGAGTGCCCTCATGGGGGTCGACAGTCTCATGGTGGTCGACGGCCTCATGGTGGTAGACAGCTCATGTGAACGTAGAGGGCCTCATGGTGGTAGACGACCTATGTGAACGTAGAGGGTCTCATGGTGGTGGTGGTCTCATAGGGGTCGACAACCTCATGGTGGTAGGCAGCCTAATGGTGGTCGACGGTCTCATAGTGGTAGACAGCCTATGTGAACATAGAAGGCCTTATGGTGGTAGGCGGCCTATGTGAACGTAAAGGGCCTCACGGTGGTAGGCAACCTCATGGTGGTCGATGGCCTCATAGTGGTAGACGGCCTATGTGAACGTAGAGGGCCTTATGGTGGTAGACGGCCATGTGAACGTAGAAGGCCTCATGGTGGAGGCGGCCTATGTGAACTTAGAGGGCCTCACAGTGGTAGGCGACCTCATGGTGGTCGATGGCCTTATAGTGGTAGACGGCCTATGTGAACGTAGAGGGCCTCATGGTGGTAGACGGCCTATGTGAATGTAGAGGGTCTCATGGTGGTATACAATCTGTAGGGATAGACGGCTTATCATGTGGTGCTCTACTTGGAGTGCATATCAAGTAGTTCTCACCTCACTGACCATCGTGAATAATTATTATTACCATCCTGTATCACTAGTCCTCTATACCTTGTCGATGTTTATCAATAAGGGGTAGCCTTTTCACTTTTTCCGTACTAGTTAAAATTTTTTTTTTATTTATTATGCATAAAACCATCATTACCTCTTCATTCGGCGAAAGCGCAAGCGGAGGGGCAAGTCAATTGACCGACCCATCCTTAGATGGGTCGATCGAAGTTTCCCAATCGACCAGCAAGGCTGGTCGACAGTCAACCATGGCTGCTGGTCGTTCGTCGACCAACGTTGGTCGACCATTGCTGGCCGATCTTCAACCAGCATTGGGGCTGGTCGACGATCAACTAACCCTTGACTGGTGGCAAGCCGTGAGGCTGGTAGGCGGTTGACCAACCTCATGGCTGGTTGCGAGGCTAGCCGTCCTTCAACCGAGTCTCCCAAAAAAATCATATTAGCTCAACTAAATTTTTGAACCAAAATCTTAAAATCGAATGGGATTCGACGGGTGAGTTAGTAGTTCTTGAGATTCCAACATGATATAGCCTTTATAATTCTTCATCTAAATTGGAAAAGTCAGTTAGGAAATATGAGCGTGTGGACCATTTTGTTTATAGAGCCCCTAGGTTCAAAGATTTTTTTCCCTTTATATCCATCTTGTATCATAGGTGTCGTTTGCCGATATGTGAGAGTTTATTTGCCCATCCTTGGACGACTCTTCCTATTTGATCGTAATATCTAGTAGGCATGACAGCCAGTGAGTGGTCGCCTGGTTACACGAGCGTAAGTCGAATGCCACACGGTTGACCGGCGTGCGTGGCGCCAAGCTCGGTTGTAATTTTACCTTTCGCATTTCCT